CCCCAAAACCCCAAAACCCCAAAACCCCATAAATAACATTAAAAATATAGTGAAAACACAATCAATAAATCAATTTAAAAAAATATACTGTTATAATTATTCGATAATCAGTTGGTCTTATTATAAGAAAATAAACTTTGCACCACAGCCAATGAAACTGTAGCTATTACAGTTAAAAATTTAGTAAATTTTTCTTCAGACAGTGTAATTGTCAAAAACTTTATAGGCTAGTGCTAGTATTGAAAATCTAATCTCTCAATTACAGTATTGATCATGTTTTCAACAAGGTCTATTTTTTCGAAAAGCTTATTCTTGTCAAGATTATTAGTACAAATTCTTTTAATCCTCTGAGTGGGACTCTAAATTTAAGTAAGGATGTGGGATTAGTGGTTTAATTTTTAACAGACTGAGAATTGCTCTATCTTATCATCCTCTTATTTGATAAATGTCCGAACCAAAACTAGTTCTTCTTTTAAACTTATTAGGATATTTTTGTGCTTCATATTCTGGCCATTTAATGCAGCTCCTTCTTTCAAAGTTCTAGTCAAAATAATAAATACTACTATGAAGTCAAGAGGCATTGTTAGGTAGGCTAGAGTATCAAATAATGGTAATTGGACATTCATAAGCACTGTGAGAATATAAGAGGCAAATAGGAATGAAAATACTGGTATAATTATCAATGAATACAATTGAATTCTTAAATCAAACTAAAGTCCAAAATCTAGCACACAGCTTCTCAAATTCAGCCAATTATATAAGTTGATTGGATTGTATGGATTGATAGAAGGAAAGTAACCTCCAAATTAGTAATACAGCTTGTTTTTTTTATCAATAATTGTCGAGATCATCTCCATCATGAAATTCTTCTGTCTGATATGAAAATAGGAATAATTCAAAAAGCTCATATTAAACATGTAGGAAAATGATGCTAGATAGAGTTAACAACCAAAAAACACCCAAAAGAAAGGATTATTAATCATAACCTCTGTCTTGTTATCTATAAATCGAGCAATCAGAGGGCATATTGATCTTAGAACTGAGATAGCAAAAAAAGGTGAGTATCGATGAGGAATCTGTTTCGAATGATAGATCATTTCGAAAAGCAAACTTTGACCATTTAAGTCATATTTGTGCTCATTTCTCTGCATAATAGATTCTATTTTTTCTTGGTACTTTTGATATGTATTAGATACTCCTTAGTATCGCTATGCTTTTTTCTTATATTAAAATTCTTCCAAATAACTTTTGATTATTTTATTGTTGTAATTCTCGATGTTGGTGAAAAAATCTGAAGTGGTAAATCTTTCTTGAACTAAATCTTGTTAAAATTCCTCATCATTTGATTTCAATATGAATAATTCTTTGTCAATGTTTAACCTATAAAATGTAGCAGTTACCTCAGATCTCATCTAAAGAAAATTATAACTATTAAGAATGCTTGTCAAATATTAGTTAGCACGTATATCTGAACCAATCTTGCTGTTAATTATCAAGTAATTTCTTTCATCACTGAAATATCCATATTTAGCACCAAGAATTATATTTCTCAAAGTTTACATAAGCACTAGGAAAGTAAGTTCTGAAATGTAGAAATTGCTAAACCCTTAGTAGAATACTACAGAAAAGCAAATTGCGTTTAAAGCAAATGACATCATTTACAAAAAGCAGCTAATATTTAAACCCCAGAATGCCAAATTGTTTATCAATGAAGAGTATCCTGCTAATTTCAATACCAGAACAAAAAATGGACCAAACGTATTGTGCAGGACATGAAGAAGAAAGTATAAAAGGAATCTGCGAGTATTGAATTTTGGGTACATATCAATACTATCTAAAGCTGGCAGTAACGATCCTATAGCAATAAGTTAGCTTTAGTTTATCGTTTCTATAATTCATTAATATAACACAAGAAATACTTCATTAAGTGTGGCCTATTTTCTTCAGAGTCTAATTAAAAGCCTCTTTAAACTCTATGAGTTTTAGATCCGCTTCTCCAGTAGTTTGGGTCTTATTGTTAATATTTACGTCATCTAAAGTACTTGTAATCATTTCTTCTTTTTATCAAAGATCTGAGCCTGCTTCTAAATAAAAACTGTTGTTTCTAGATTCTGACTTGATTGTAGAGTCATCAAACTATTCTTTGATAATTTAATTTTCTAGGAGATCGAAGTCAGTTGACCTCAAGTTAACTTTATTTCCTATTTTAGCTTTCATTTAATATTGAAAGATTATTCTTCTTTTGAAGTGGATTTTAATTACAAATGTTATATGTATTTAAATTATAATAACACTCAAGCGGGGTTTTGGGGTTTTGGGGTTTTGGGGTTTTGGGG